AATATATATATATTTAACAGTATAAACTATGTATGTTTCTAAATATAAATTTAATCTAAACAAACGTTGATATTAAGATAAATATATATTAACAAATTCGTTACATTTCAAATAAATGTTGTAAGACCAAACCACCACCATCACATGGAAACATGCACTCATTAGAATAGAGTGACATTGTCATTGCATGGACACACACATATACCACTCTTGGGTTACTCTTTTACAAACAAATAGTGGGACTGAACACATTTCACGTTATAAAGTCCCCACAGCTGTTTGGCGAAAGGTCACAATGAAATGATGCCAGTATCATATGGTGTCAATGAGTTACACTAACTTTTAATGGAAGGAAAAACACATATCATAGCATTACAAAGATATAACACATCCAGGAAGCTAACTGCACCAACAATTTTATCAACCATTAAAATGAAAGAATATAAATGCGAAACACAGGTATATAAAAATACAAGGGGTGTCCGAAAATTTCGTAGCCTGACCTATAAAAAATACACTGCTTCAACTATGATATATTTTTCAACATAATCTCCACCTGAATCTATACGCTGTACTAGCGGTGCTCTAAGGCCTTCATGTCCTTCTGACTCTGTACACTAGTGCCAGCAGTGCTCTAAGGCCTTCATGTCTTTCTGACTCTATACACTAGTGCCAGAAGTGCTCTAAGGCCTTTATGCCTTTCTGAAAGAACTCTCCTTTTTGGTCCTCAGTCAATGACTGGAGAATATCCACGAGATAATCATCACTCTAAAACTTTCCACCTTTCACAAAATGTTTAAGGTTAAGATTGTGAAAAAAGTAATTTCCAGTTTAAGCAGATGCACGATTCATTATAGGATGATTTCCCCATCGATTCTTAAATTAGAAATGTAATTTCTGCAATGAAGAGTAAATATAAGAAGGATAGTATAATGCCCAGTGTAATGTCATATTTTCATTAATATCTAGTTGTTGTTTGTTTCTTTTCGTTTTAGAAGTTGTGCCGAGATTTCTTGATTCAGATCTATCGAAATAGCCCTAAAACACTGGTTTCTGGAATGACCCCCCTCTCCCCCTTGTTGATCATCCTAGACTCAGTACTAAAAGATGCTAAGCTGGCTCTTGTGGCAGGTGTTAAAAGATTTCATCTCATTATCATGCAAAAGTTGAGATTCCAAAAATGTAATTAAAGAATTACATTAGCTATAAAATATAAAGTAATTTATGTTTGTTTATAATGTTAATCTACCCTTTACTACTCCAGAAATACAAATCCCAAAATACATTACACAGTATCCAATGGAGTTTCAGAGGTTTTTAAGAGAGTTAAGACCATTGCAGAGTTCATGTTGGTCAATAACTGACAATCCTGACACTATGGCACCAAAAAATATCCTACACCTGGACAGAATTGGGTCCGATTGCATCACATAATGCCAGAGATTGGAACCAATGTCAAGTCAACATATATCACTAATTACTTAATTATCATTAATTATGGTCTTATCTAGGATATCTGAAGCACACATTAGTTGTTTGTCGAATTTCATGCAAAGCTATACAAGAGATATCTACACTAGTTGTCCCTAATTTTGAAGTGATAAACTAGAGGGAAAGCAGCTAGTCATTGCCACCCATAGCCAACTTTTCGGCTAATATTTACCATTGAATAGTGGAATTAACCATCTGATTATATTGCCCCCGCAGCTAAAAGAGCAAGCATGTTTGGTGATAGATTTCAGAAAATCAGTTTTCTGATACCATGTTAAAAATGCTCATGCTATGGGACTAAATACACTAAAATGAGCTGTTCCTTGCATTTGTCTGGTTTTTCGATACTTAGTTAGCGCTGAGTGTCTGTATTCCTGTCCTGTCACCAACACGTACCACTTTTATGCAAATACGAAAACAATAACTACAATTTAGATGTTCACTTAAACAGCAAATTGTTAAATCTTAGAATATAATGAGGATAATGTCTTTCCAGGAAACTTAGTTAGTACAAGAAACATCGTAACAGCTATGCATTCTCACAAAACATGTAACAAGCATTCAAGTGTAGTTTTCTAGTCTGTATTAAAGGTTTCCCTTTTGGATTATATATATATATCGCATTGCCATTATCGGTCCAGGTTGTCAACTTATTATCATAGTGGATAATGTCTGTGTTAATAGCACCCAAATGCGTTGGGGGTATTCTACCTATCAGACAAAATTCAAACACTGATGTTAATCTAGTCAGCCGTCATGGAAAATTAAATAGGTGTACGAAAATCAAATAAGGGTACAAAGCTGAGTGCTTATACCCAAAAATGTCTCAGCTTATACTGCCTTTTACTGTCTATAAACAGTTGTGGGAAAGCGGTAAGTAGAAATGACAACCTGGACTGATAATGTTAATGGGATATTTAATTCATTATTGTTTTATAAAGCTGATTCAATCGCCTATTAACAATTAATGTAATCAGTAGTTTGAAAGATATATATATATTATCCTGTGCACGGTAGGGTAATATAATCAACTACAGCTGGTATTTAGGGACAACTATTGTACCCACAACTGGCCATGGGCAAGGGAGGTTTAGTTGGATGTGGGATGCTGTGGGCTTCAGCACTTGGGTCCTACCCCTTTATTAGCTTTGTTTGTATATTAGTTTTCACTTGTTATTATGGAGTATCCCTAATGCTGTATGAGTTATTTCTCTCAGAAGTACATGATCATACATCCAAATGACGTCTTGGTTAAAATAATCTTTGGTTCAATTATTTCCCTGGAAAGTTTGGAGTCTGTGCCTCGAAGATTTTGAACATTCTGCAATCAGTGTGTGTACTTCATGTCCATCCCACCCATTAGGCCACTGTAGTCTCTTGTCATCTGTATCTTCATTGCCAGACCATCACATCATGCTGCTCTACCAGCCTCTGGAGAAGAATTTTATCAAGCAGACTTTGAAATTTTAATGGTGCACCTGTCACCTCCTCTCCTCATCTTAAGATATTTGTGTGGGTACAATTTACTCTATGGCTGTGTAAGTATTGATAAGAGATGTGGTCAATCAGCATCATTTGACATTGGGTAGTGTCATTGAAATTGATGACACTGCCCAGCTTGAAAATGTTAGCTATTTACAGGTCATAAGGCTTTTAATTATATTAAATTTTTAATCATTTTTCAAAAAAATGACCTTACACACTGTGTTTGAATTTTATACAATTATATTTTAGTTTTATAGCTTTTCGTTTTATTGTAGAAAAATGTTTCGTTGGTACATACAGCAAGTGATGACTTTTACTATAAAACCCACACAATCTCATGGCCTGCAATTTAATGCTCAACTCGCACTCATGAAACCAATTTTAATTATCAGACATCTAACCACCTATTAATATAAATACTGTTGTAATTGTATTACGAAAATATTTTCAAATAAAACAGAAGTATAGTACCACTCAACACACATTATACCAAAATCATCATGCACAGTGACAAAATATTATATTATATTAGCTGTCACTCTTGGGCTATTCTACTTTAATTGAGGGGTTTTACCATCTGTCTTTAAATGCCCCCATGCCCCAAAATGCAGAATGTGATTTTTTAACATTCTGTTGGCTTGTAATGGAGTATGAACCGTATAATCTCAGGAGCATGCTAACTACTGGGCTGTACACGGCCTATTCTTAGATAAAACTGGCTGTACACTCGAAAAAGATGTTATTTTGAAGATAATTCTCAGTAAACTAAAATTAACTATACATATTTCAT